GCCCACAACCTGGGCATGTGCCTGACCTGGAATTGAACGGCCATCTCCTGTATCCTAGGTCGATGCTCAACCGCTGAGCCATGCTTCACTGGGCCAGAAATTTGATTTTTAATAAACCTGTTTGAAGTACACTCTGGGAATACAAAAGTGGACAGGACAGTCCTTTCCCCTTTCTAGACCGTTGTACAAATGAGCAGGTAAGCTAGTGCAATAAGGGCCCACCCAAGCCCTGGAGGAAATATGTACGGGCGCCCACGAGAGGGAGTGGCTGCTCGCACCGAGGGGAGCCCAGCAATCCCAGCGTTGCACAACCAGTTAGTGTAGCGCTTGCTGTCCAGCAGGTTGGCCATTGAGAAGTATGTCCGATGCTTCCTCCAACGTAGCAGGCATCATATGTGGAATGAAAGAACACATCTTGTCCTATACTGTCCTGCTCTAGTAGCCACAAATGGACGAGCACAGGGATACTGGGAGGGTCTGCAGCTCATCACCAGCCTCGTTTCTGGTGAACCTCTTGCAGGTCCTCCATTGTCAGTGTGGCAGAGGGCAGAGATCTACAGAAAGGGAGTTAAAATCTTGTTTGGCTTATAATCAGGAATCATGGGGTCGGTCCAGGTCTGACCCTGCTGCTTATTAGCTGGGCAAGCTGCTTTGTCTCTCAGAGCCTTGTTTCTCCATTTGCAAAGGCCAGAAATAATAGCTACACATTAGGGTTGTTTGGGGAGTAACATAAACTCTGGTACCTAACCTGCCCAGCATTGTGCCTGAGAGGGGTCAGTGCTAATACATAGTACTTATTTTTATTAACAATAGAAGTAATAGTGGACCTCTATTTGTGTGCCCAGAGTTGATTCATCCTCAGGCGACGAAAGCCATCTTCCATATTTACAATGATTCTGAACGGCCCTGCCCAGATCCCTGGAGGGCTATGACACCCACCAGGGCAGCAGTTCTCAATCTGGGGCCCATTCTTCGAGGCTCAGGTTGGCTTGAGAAAAGTCCTTGGGTCATTTGACCCCCTCCCTGCCCCCACTGAGATTTATTGCTTAGGGAAGTGAGTCTTAAGCAGTGTGCCTGTTAGCATCTCCCAAGGAGCTTTGTTAAGATACACAAACTGCATCCACTATGATTCACTGGCCTGAGTCATCACTACCATGGTGGAGCATCGGGGAGTGTATTTCACCTTTCCAGGCAACGCTGATAAACAAGCCTGGCTGAGAGCTGTCTCCGTGGATGTGTCTCTGCTCAATGCTGTCTGACTCGGCGCTAACTCTTCTGGCGAAAAAGAATGGTGCCCAGTAGCTTTTCAAAGCTCAGAGATCCTGACCCTGTGTGTCCAGCTAAGGAGGCAGAGCCTTTGCTGATGAGGCAAAGGAGACAAGAACTCTGGGCATAAAGCGACTCCATATATAGCCCTGCCTGGACATGATGCACACTTGGTATTTAACAAAAGGAAGCAGTTATTATTATTATTGGTTGTGTATTGGCCTAGCTCCTTGAAAGGCCTGTATCCATTTTAGGAGAAAAGACTCCAAACCCGGAAGTTAGGAAACCAACTGGCTGCTGGGGAAGCATTGAGACAATGTGACAAGAGGTGTCATGCACAGGCTAGCAGAGATTTCAAGAAGGAAAAGCGCTGTGGTCTCTGTTTCTGTTTCCCCGTTTGCTCCCGAAATGAGAAGGAAGGAGAGCAGTGCGTTGGCAGCTGGTTCAAAGAGGGGCAGCGATGGCCCCAATGCTTAGTCTTACGCTGTGTGAATGCCATGGTGAACCCCAGATCGCCACGGGCTTTGATTTTTGTGTGTCTCAGCGTTTGCACTTCACATCTGGGGCTCCTGGTTGCTGTGCAAAGACGAGAGTAGCCACATTTCCAGCTGAGCCTAGCGCAAAGTTTCTGCCCCTGTGGAGACACTCAGAGCTGAGATCTGAGTAGAAGATGGGAAAGGACAGGCTCAACAGAGGGAGTAAATTCTGCCTGTTCAGTCTTCCTTAGATTATGCAGGAAAGGGGATTAGAGAGACTCCTCAGAATTAAGACTGGAAGGGGAGCTCACCCCTCTGGAGCAAAGACCGGGAGATTAAGGTACTGCAGTCAAACGGGACACCTGCGAAGCACTTTGAAATTACTTTAGCTGGACTTCGTGCCGACCTACATCAAGAGCAGCGGCATCAGTAACTGTGTCAGCAGCTCGGGTGGAAGGCGATGCCCGAGGTCCCGAATGAGCCCTCAGCCCCCAGCCAGACCCGCACCTACATCCTGCTGTGCAGAAGTGATCTGCTCAATCCTTGGCACTTCCGGCTGACGTGACTACGGAAGGTGTTTGGTACAGTGGGTCCTTAAATAAGAACTTTTCTTTAGGTCTGATCTCTTTTCTGCCCACAGGTCCTAGCTTCCTAGGCCTTACCCTTACGCTGCCTACTGCCAATACAAGTTGGTAAAATCTGTTGACTGTTAAAACCTATTACAGGACAACTAGCATGCAGAGAAAAACAAGCCATTCACCCCACTCTGTGCTACTCCTATCAGAGAACAGGGAAAATCTCTCTTCTCTCGGCCAGCACCCTCCCCTCTAGTATGTGCATCTGAACTGGGGGTGTGGTGGGGGGTGGAGTCTAGCTTTCCTGCTGCAACAAAGACGCGACGGAGCACAGCTGGCCAGAGCTGGGCATTCAGCGAGGCCGGGGCCAGGCCTGTTGGATCTGCCGGGAGGGTGGGCAGTGCCAGGCCAGGATGGGTGTCAGTTCTGGGCTCTGATGCGTGAGGGGTCCTTCCTGATGTGACTTTAATCAGGCAACCCCCGCTCCCGCCTGGAGTAGACCCGTAAAAGGGTCTGCTTTAGAAGGATGTCTGCAACATGACGGTGCAATTTAAAATCTGGGTCCTACTTTCCTAAGCTTGGACCCAAACTTGTCCTGAGATAGAAGGCGCTTTAGGCAAAGGGCCGCCGGCGGTGGCTTCCCAGCGGTGACGAGGCGCGGCCAGCAGGTGTCAGTGCGCCCTCGCTCTGTCGCGCGCCGAGCCGCGGCCTCCAGGACCCCTCCTCGCCGCGGTCTGAGGGGGCGAGGTCCAGGCCCCGGGCCGCCGCGGCCCCGCGAACAGCTCCAGCAGGGAGACGGCGGTCACCTTCCACCACGCGCAGCTCTGAGATCCGGGGGCGCTGCTCCGGGAGGCGCTCCCCTTTTCGCCGCAGGGGGTCGAGCTGAACCTGAGCCT